AGTGCTTCTTTCAGGAGCTCTTGTAAAGTAGGCCTGGTGGAGATGAAATCTCTGAGCAATTGCTTGTTCATAAAGGATTTTATTTTTCCTTTGCTTATGAAGCTTAGTTTGGCCGGATATGAAATTCTGGGTTGAACGTTCTTTTCTTTAAGGATGTTGAATATTGGCCCCCACTCTCTTCTGGCTTGTAGGGTTTCTGCTGAGTGATCAGCTGTGAGTCTGACGGGCTTCCCTTTGTGGGTAATCTGACCTTTCTCTCTGGCTGCCCTTAGCGTTTTTTTCCTTCATTTAAACCCTGGTGAATCTGATGATTATGTGCCTTGGGGTTGCTCTTCTTGAGGAATGTCTTTGTGGTGTTCTCTGTATTTCCTGGACTTCAATATTGACCTGCCTTACTAGGTTGGGGAAGTTCTCCTGGGTAATATCCTGAAGAGTGTTTTCCAGCTTGGATTCATTCTCTCTGTCACATTCAGGGTACCTATCAAACGTAGTTTAGGTCTTTTCACATAATCCCATATTTCTTGGAGGCTTTGTTCATTTCTTTTCACTCTTTTTTCTCTAATCTTGCCTTCTCATTTTATTTCATTGAGTTGATCTTCAATCTCTGATATCCTTTCTTCTGCTTGGGGATTCGGCTATTGAAACTTGTGCATGCTTCGCGAAGTTCTCGTGTTGTGTTTTTCAGCTCCATCAATTCATTTATATTCCTCTCTAAGTTGTTTATTCTCGTTAGCATTTTGTCAAACCTTTTTTCAAGGTTCTTTGTTTCTTTGCATTGGGTTGGAACATGATCTTTTAGCTCAGAGAAGTTTGTTATTACCCACCTTCTGAAGCCTGTTTCTGTCAATTCATTAGACCCATTCATCAGCCTTGTTCCCTTGCTAGTGAGGAGTTGTGATCCCTTGGAGGGGCAGGCATGTTCTGATTTTGGGTATTTTCCTCCTTTTTGTGCTAGTTTCTTCCCATCTTTGTGGATTTATTTACCTGTGGTCTTTTTGGTTGGTGACTTTCGGATAGGGTCTCTGAGAGGACGTCCTTTTTGTTGCTGATGAAGTTATTTCTTTCTGTTTCTTAGTTTTCCTTCTAACAGTCAGGCCCCCCTGCTGTAGGACTGCTGGAGGTCCACTCCAGACCCTGCTTGCCTGGGGATCACCTGCAGCAGCTGCAGAAGAGTAAGGGTTGCTGCCAGTTTCTTCTTCTGCTACCTTTGTCCCAGAAGGATACCCGCCAGATGTCAGCCTGAGCTCTCCTTTATGAGGTGTCTCTTTGATTATTCGGGGTTTGGGGAGCTGCTAGAGGGACAGTCTGTCCCTTATAGGAGCTCAAGTGCTGAGCTGTGAGCTCCGTTGTTCTGTTCAGAGCTGCTGGGCAGGTATGTTTAAGTCTGCTGTAGCGGAACTCATAGCCGTCTTTTTTCCCAGGTGCTCTGTCCCAGGAACGTGTGGCTTGATTTATAAGTTCCTATCATTCTGCCACCTTTTTTCAGAGATGCCCTGCCCAGCGAGGAGATAGCCTAGTCACAGTCTGCCAGCAGAGGCATTGCTGAGCTGCCGTGTGCTCCACCCTGCTGCTGTATGAATTTCCTTGCAGTTTTGTTTATAGGGGTATAGTTAGAACTGCCTCGGCAATGGCAGTCTGCCTCAGTGTTGGTGGACTATGTCTGTAATGGTGGACTGCCTCGGTAATGAGGGACGCCCTTCCCTCCACGGGACTGGACCTTCACAGGCCCAGCTATGCTTGCTGTGAAACTCAATCCAGAGCATTTCAGATTGCTGGTCTTTGTGAGGGTGGGACCAGCTGAGCCAGATCACCTGGCTTCCCGTTTCAGCCCCCTTTTATTCAGTTGAATGGGCGACTGTCTCCCAGGCATTCCAGTCACCAGTTGAAATGGCGTCCGGATTTGTTTGAGTTTTTGTGCGAAGACCCACTGTGCCGACTGAAACAGCAGTGCTGGAGACTCGTGGCACTTTTCTGCCTGGGAATCTCCTGCTCTGTGGGCAGTAAAAATTCATTTGTAAATGCGGTGGTCACTTACCCTCTCTGTTTTTGCTGGGAACTGTACTCCAGAGCTGTTCCTATTTGGCCATCTTGGATCTCGGTAAAATAGTTTTTATCTTGAACATTTCAGTGTATTTCAGAATGTTTGCAGATGTTTTTTATTTTACTGAGATATATATGTACTTACTTGTTTCATACTTTTGTCATCTCTTAAGAATTTAATTTCCCAATAGCATTTTTTCTGATCTTTTTGAAGTACTAAATGCATGTTTTTATTTTCATGATCTTTCCAGATTTATACCTTTTTTTCTCAGAATAAACATTTCTCACTGAAAAGAACACTTGAGCAATTTACTCTGTCTAAATTTTTATTAATTTAAATAAAATTGAGCTATTGCAAGATGCCAGTCTTAGCAGTAAATGACAACTAGAAAGTAACTTATTACATATGAATTCTTTCACAAATTAATCAGGTATATGATCGACATCATTTTTAAGTAGCATCTTTATCTGTGCATATTTATACTCACAACTTCCAATTTTTGAGATAGAATTTGGATAGCCATTCCCTAATACCTCATTAAATTTTCCTCTTTTGGGCATCCCAGCCATTCTAGAAGCATATTAATGCCTTTAATGCTTTTTCTGCTTTCATTCGCAGAGTAAAACCAGCTAGTAGTGTGTAATTGTAATATTTATAAAAATATAAATAATTGCACTAAAATAGTTTAGCTTAGAACATGTAGAATTTTCTTATCTCATTGAGGTCGATGGGAAGTAACTCCTGAGGTGGGAGGTGTTTATTATGGATTTTACTTTCTTTATCTTCAGGGATGGACCAGATCGCAGCTGTCTAAAATGCCAGAGGTTATTTTTGATTTGTTCATGAATTGAACATGGGCATTTAGTAAATACTTAAACATAATTGAGTGATTGCATCAGAATAACAAAAATAAAAAGCTAAATTATCTGAAGGTTCCTATTATTTTTATATTTATTTATTTATTTATTTATTTATTTATTTATTTATTTATTTATTTATTTATTTTTGACATGGAGTTTCGTTCCTGTTGCCCAGGCTGGAGTACAGTGGCACTATCTTGACTCATTGCAACTCTGCCTCCCGGGTCCTGGTTCAAGCAGTTCTCCTGCCTCAGCCTCCCGAGTATCTGGGATTACAGGCACACGCCACCATGCCCAGCCAATTTTTGTGTTTTCAGTAGAGACAGGGTTTCACCGTGTTGGCCAGGCTGGTCTTGAATTCCTGACGTTGTGATCCACCTGCCTCCGCCTCCTTAAGTGTTGGAATTACAGGCATGAGCCACCGCACCTGGCCAGAAATCTTAATATAATATTTTACAAAATGATTCTTGAATTGAGTTTTCAAACAATGATTTAAATTCCATAACATAAGGAATTTAAATTAAGCCTTATTGATGTCTTAAAAACTGTTAAACCTTATTGATGTCTAAGAACTGTTAGCAGGTATACCAATTGCTCACCTAATTTTTAATTTCTTCCCTCAATTGGCTTGTTTTCTTCTCTGCTTTATTTCATCCTTCATCCATTGATTGCCCTGCCCTAATACATGTTTTGTTCTTTGTGGCAATGCTGATTGCATTTTCATTTCATTGAAGTCATGGTTGTCAGGAATTGGCAAAGTATGTAATATGCCTTGTAGATGTGATAACAAAAAGGCAACCTTATCTTTCTAGATAACCACTGTTCAGTACAACTTTGATGATGGAAATTTTCTGTATCTGCACTGTCTAGTAATGGTAACCACTGGCTGCATGTAGCTGCTGAGCACTTGAAGTATGATTCATGAATCTCAGGAACGACTTTTTATTTAATTTTAAGTTTAAATAGCCACATATGGCTAATGGCTACCACATTGGACAATGGTTGTAGATGATCAGATTTAATTGTATCATTCATTCTCATAGGCCATATATAATTTTTGTATACATGGACTTTTATCCTACGTGTAAAGGAATTTAAAGGAAATTTCATGTTTAGAAAGAATGTTTCTGTACTAACTTGTGTTTTTATTCATATTTAGCATCAAAATGCCCTTTCTCAAAAGCAAAATGATTCCCAAATTATTTATATTACACTATTGTTTTGTCTTATATTCACATGGATGAAAATCATTTTGCATTTTGCTTTAGAAACTCAAATCGGTCAATTGGTGTGGTTTTGTAAGATATATGTAGTTCTGTTAAGCCATTGTTGTGGTATTCTCATGTTGTATGCTTGGCTTTAGTTTGTACTTTATTGCTTCCAGATTAAGCTGTGAGTTGCTATACTTGTCATTTTGCCAATATTTGCTTCCTAAAGTTGAGAGGTCCAGAGCCAGGGCATGGAATTGAATAAAGTTTGATGGTAATGAAGAATCTTACAGTAAGATATGTTCATGCTGTGTTGAATTAACACACTGGTTTTGCAACTTAACAACCAGAGGTTTCATTTAATGCTGCCAAAATTATGGCATAGGGTACTGTGAGATAAACTTACTGCCTTACTCCTTGTCATCAACAGCGAAATTTAGTGTCTTTGCTGCTTTTACTATACTCATGAATGTAAGAAAGTAATTCTCTGTTCCCATTAGTGGAAACTAATAAATACTGTACTTTTAAAGTTGATTTAATTAACAGGGGAAGAGAGAAATATGGGACCAAAATGAGACTTTCAGGAAAAGATTTAAAACAACAGTGATCTTAAAAAAAAAGGGAAACTGAGGTTGAAGAGAAAAATGGAGAGGCTAGATAATAGGTCAAAAACATTATTTTTAAAGAAACAGTTATCTTTAAATAAATGCCAGATACTTTTTGTGTATTGCCTGATATGATAGATTGACAGTATTCATATGAAAACAGTTTGGATTAATTAGACAGGTTCACTTTACCCATGAGGGTGGGAAGTCAAGGGAAAGCCAGGCTCAGCTGCTATTTACATCTCTGACCTAGGCTCCTGTTTGACCTAAGTCTGTCTTGATGCAGCAGCACAAGCCAGCGAGGAGGCAGTGTCATTTCGTCGTGAACGCAGCACATTTAGGCGCCAGGCAGTACGGCGCCGGCACAATGCAGGGAGTAACCCTACCCCTCCTACATTGCTCATCGGATCACCCCTAAGGTATGGTATTTTCAATTTCACCAAGTTTAGCATGCATGTAAGAGCTCTACTAATCTGTTCCGTCAGTTCCAAGAAAGCATTTGAAGAGCTTTGTTTTTCTTTTCCTTTCTGTTCTTTCCTATACATTTAAGCCCTTTTCAGCTTTTTCTGCATGTGACCATGAGCCTGTTGCATTATGCATGCTTTATGTTGCACTATTTAAACAAAGTGATCAGATTGGTTTAGTCAATTTTAAGTTGCAAAATCACTTGAGGGCAGTTATAATGGGCCTTAGTCAGCTTTCCTTTTTTCTTCTCCCACTCTAAATTAATAATAATAATGCAACATTTTCCCCAATATTTTGACAGTATTTAATATAATATGAAAAAATACAAATTGAGTAGTGAGCTTGTTGAGGAATAACCGATAATTGACTTCAACTTGATAAGCCAGTTTGATTATTTTATTTCACTAAAATATTATATATTTTATTTTATATTGCCTAAAACTTGTACCTTTTATAATCACCAGGATCTGGTAAATGACAGAACTAACATATAAAACTTCTGTGAAGTGTGGTCAACTGGAGAGAGATACACATGTTTATATATATATACCTTTATTTTTCAAGCTCTATAGTGCAGTAAACAAAAACATCATTACTTTTTCCAGTAGTCCTAAGAAAGCATCCATTCATAACATTGTGGATAATTTTTCATTAAAATTGTAGTTACTACTTTATTCTAAATTACATGAAATCTGATGAATCCATGCCCTGAATTAGAAATATAAAAATCCATCCAAAAGACTTGGACTTTATTTTAAGAATGCAAAAATGGTTATAAATACTTTTTAAAAAAATTTTTTTTGAGATACTCTATTGCCCAGGCAGGAGTGCAGTGGTTTGATCTCAGCTCACTGTAACCTCTGCCTCCCAGGTTCATGTGATTCTACTGGCTCAGCCTCCCAAGTAGCTGGGATTACAGGTGCATACCACCACGCCCAGCTAATTTTTGTATTTTTGTAGGGATGGGGTTTCACCATGTTAGCCAGGCTGATCTTGAACTCTTGACCACAAGTGATCTGCCTGCCTTGGCCTCGCAAAGTGCTGGAATTACAGGTGTGAGCCACTGTGCTCTGCCTATAAAATGGTTATAAATACTTTATATATGCTTGCTTAAGCAGTACGTATATTATACAAAATACTTTTATTAGCCTCTGTGTCCCAGAGTACCATTTTACAAATTATTTTCTGGGTACATTTAAATTCAAAAGGAAGAGCATTTGATGAAATAACTGCTATTGACTACTTGGTAGGTTGGAAGAGATAAACTCCTTCTCTTGTTAAAACCTTGTTCTTGAAACAAGCAAAATCTTTTTTTCTTTAAAATATTTTATTTCATACTCACCTGAGATTTAAGACTTGCTTGTTTTCCTAGATTTTACGTTACAGTCAAGAACTTTGTCTTTAACGAGGTACCCCTGGAATCTCTCTAAATGTGCTGTGATTCTGGGGGCTGCCCAATTCACAAATTGTTCATTGCTCAATTAAAACTCCTTTAATTTTTTGTTTTTTAAAGGCCAGGTGTGGTGGTTCACATCTGTAATTCCAGCACTTTGGGAGGCTGATGGGCAGATCACCTAAGGTCAAGAGTTTGAGACCAGCCTGGTCAACATGGCGAAACCTCGTCCCTACTAAAAATACAAAAAAAAGTAGCTGGGCATGGTGGCATGTGTCTGTAGTCCCAGCTACTTGAGGAGGCTGGGGCTAGAGAATCACTTGAACCCAGGAGGCAAAGGTTGCAGTGAGCCAAGATGGCGCCACTGCACTCCAGCCTGGGCGACAGAGGGAGACTTCATCTCAGAAAAAAAAAGAAGTTTGTCTTTTCATAGATCATGTTCCTAATTAATTATTCAATAAGACAAAAAGTATATGGATTAAGTAAATCAATATTTAAAATATAAAAATGAGAAGACCATCAATTTAAAAGAAACACTTGTCCTAGAAACCTTTTCTAAGCCTTTTGCTCTTTGTGAGCCCTCTTGTTCTTTTTCCTTTCTACCTTGCCTTTTCCTGCCTCTTTTTTCCTTTCTACCTTGTCTTTTCCTGCCTGAAGTAACTTTTCTTTCTGCTAATGGATTTGGGGCATAGTTTCAACATGCAGAAAGAGCTTAGCATTTTATTTTACTTATTCTATTTTGTTTTTAACCTCTTCTTTTTGCCCCTTGAATAATACTTGCCAAAGGCAACTTCTGTGCTTTCTTACTCCATGTTTATATGTCTTAAACTTTTTTTTTAACTTTCGCTTTTCAGTCTTTAAAAATTATTTTATTCTTTGCCACTAATGAGCCCGCCGGATACCTTTCAGCAAACATATGTAGACAAATTAGGTTTTTGTCCTCTACCAGGTGGAATATTACTGAGCTGTGTTCTAACTCCAGTGAATCGTATACACTTTTCCCATGTTTTTCTAGGGTTTTAAATCCATCACCATTCAAATGAGGATGTTCTGTACTACTTATTTTTAAAGAGTTCACATTATAGTTTTTGAAAAGTAGTCTTTTAGTAATCAGCTTATAGTTTTTATGGAGGTTCCAGGATATTCCTAGTACAAAGGTTGCATATATCTTAAATAAGCTGACTTCATCATGGGTAAAGTAAAAATTTAGCTGTGGGGAATTAGGGAGAAACACCAATGTATTAAAATCATGTTTTGTAATTATAAAAATATTCAGGTAAAGTATATTGGTGTCACTCTTCAGTGTGAGGTACAGAATAGTAATCTCATCTTTAAATAAATATAAGATGATATGTCATTTAAAATTTGGAAAAATTGTCAAAAAGAAATGGAATAGATGTGGCTACACTTTCATTACAAGTACCATATAAATACTAGTAAATATACTAATTTATTTTAAACTTTAATGAATAAGTAAGTGACCATCTGAAGGGCCACTTGGAAAAATATATGTCCCCAAGGATTGGGAGTGAATTATCAGTTTTCATACAAAGAGAATTTGCGTTTATTTTATAATGCTTATAAGAATATACTGTTTCAGAATTATTTTCTGAATTTTATTTTATTTAAAAAATTGTTAACTTTATAGGTAAGTTTTGTAGGCCTTTGCTAATACTTCCCAGTTGGTAGGCCTAAAAAAGACAAATATTTAAAATATTTATAATACAAATATTGAGTTCTACATTTATCATGCTAAATGTGATATCTTTTTAATTCTAGTTAATGGAATGGAATGGAATCATCAGTGCGTTTCACAGAAGGGGGGAAAAGCTTTATCAATAGAAAAAAGCTTTATAAATCTAAATTCTTAGATTTATTTTTTAAAATACAAGATTGAAAAATCTGTAATAAAATAAGATCATAGTAATAACTGAGAGCTCATGATTAGGAATTCATGGGGTCCCTTTGTGGTGCTCAGAAATGAATCCACCAACTATAATTTTTTGTACCTTATTCAAAACACTCTTCTTGGTTTTTTAGAATCTAGAGATATATAAGAATAATGTAATCATACTCTTAAACTTTACATTTTAGTTGGGGAGACACATAGAAAGATAACTAGCAGTATAAGCAGAATGCATCAGGTGCCAATTAAGTGATACAGGAGAAGGAAAGACCAAGACCACCTATTTTTCAGTCATTCATATGAGAAATGTTAACAATTAAGATTGCATGTCAGTGATGCTAATGATAGCGATAGTTTTAGTCCTAAATTTCTACCTTTTCTTTTGCAGTGTTATAGAATAGTTGCTACCTTTACTCAGACTGGTAGTTTTGATATAGAGTTGGAAGGGTATAAAAAGATTTATTTGTACCAATTATTAGTTTAGGATAAAGTGCACTCCTCCAGGAATGTGTTTTGTGACAAGTTATATGAAAATAATAGACTTTTTTTGCTTCCATTAAAGGATTGTAAAAATAGGATTTCAAGAGACATCAATATTTTATTACTGGCCTTTGATAGTTAAAATCCTGATGTTTATAATCACATGGATTCTGGCTAATTTTCTTTATTTTTTTTTAAATTCCGGAGTTGATTTTTATGCATTGTCTAATATCTTAAAAACATTTTTGTATATTGGTTATCCATTGTGCATCTCCATGTTGACGATGAGCATATACTCTAATACATTCATGCTAAAATATGTCTAGCTACCATATGGCAACTTGGCTTATGATGTCAGGTTAAAAAATTGCTAGAAAAATTTGCTGAGTACATATTTTCTAAAATTCTCTTGTCTTCTGAATCTGAAAGGACACAGAGACATGGTACTTGAACTACTTAAACATTTTTTTCTCAGTATTTTGTTGCTCGTGAAATTTGTCCTTTTTGATAAGGTTTGTGGATAAGTTTAGATAGATTCTGAGGAAGAGTAACATAAATTATGTACGTATGGAAGATTAAAAACCTATCTGCTTATATTAGTTCCCAAGATTATCTCTTGATTTATATCTATTCTACAAATATTCCAGTCTGAATAAATAATTAAATAAATACTGTTATCATTATGGCTTAAAATAATGTCAGTAAGGACTGACAAGTTCACATTTTGTAGACTTAGTTTTTTCATATGTTGTGTGCATTCCTAGTCTCTGCCTAGAATGTGTACTTTTCAATGGCTCTAAAAGAAACCTGAGAAATCTCTCAAGTAGTGCAGGTTAATAGGACTCCCTGGGATGATGGAAATATTCTATAATCTGCCCTGTTCAACATGGTAGATACTAACTACTCACTACTGCCTACTTTGGTAGCTGTTAGCTCTGGTAGCACTAGCTATATTATGTAGTTACTGAGCATTTGAAATATTAGCAGGGCCAGGAAACTAAAATTTTAATTAATTTGGATAGTCACAAGCTACTGTATCAGACAATGTAGTTCCAGAATGTATTCTATTTCCATAACCACAGGCTTAAGATATATATATAAGTTTCAGCATAGCCTTTTATTTCGTGGTCATTCTGAAATACCTTAGTTTGTTTTTATATGTACCAGAGAAACCATTACATTGAATTAAAAGGATTAGAAAGATGTTGATACTCATGAAAAATGATAAAGTAACTGAATAAGGCCATCCTAAGTAGGATTCTTCTGTTCATTCTAGAGGTTTAATAATTTTAGTTGCAGACTCTGGGATTGTTCAAGGTAAACTTCAATCGACAGAATGCAGAGTTGCATTGAACATCATGTAGAGAATAATAATTATACTCAAAACATTTTTTCATGAGTTTTGTCAGTTTAAATTTGCCTATTATACTAAGAACATTAAAATTCATAGTATCATAAAAATATGAAAGTATAAAATGAGTTAAGAATAATATAGTCTCTTAATTTAGATTATTTTTATTAAAATTCTTAATAAATAAATTTTTAATCTCAAAATACCAAGTATTTAAAAGTTTTTCTCAAACTTAGAAAGGCCTAATATCATTTGAGAAACTACTAGTTTCCAAATTATTTTAAAGATTTTCTAAAATGATGGATCCATGTAAGTGAGACTGGAATATGGTTTGGAACAGGAAATAACAAAATTTGTTAAGGGAACATAACTGTTTAATACTTGGTACATAAATCACGTGGCCTTATTTCAGAAAGATGTAAACTTTTTATAGATAACACTTTATGTTAATTCTACTTCTAACTATATCCCATGGCCATTTGTATTTCACTTGGTTGAGTCAGTTATTCTGGTTTTCTTGCACTAGTTTGTGATTTTTTTTTTTTTAATTCAAGATTGTTATTTTGGTTGCATTTGATAAAGATTCTTTGGTTCTCAAGTACATGTAAACTTGTTTTATTGTGAATTTGAGATCTCAGAATATTTGAAAGCACAATTCTAGGGTCATTCCAAGGCTATAAATGAAAATGCATATTTAACTGAAACATAGGGCTCATCCATTGGGGACCAGCTGCAGCACACATAAATTGAATGTACTTATGATTCTTTTTTGCTGCTTTCTTTTTCCTTACACTAGAATTTAGTTGGCTTGATGTGGAAAAAGACCAATTTACATGTACGTTTAATGTTGACTGCATTTGTCATTTCAAATCAAATTTGTAAGGGCCAGAAGATTTAAGTTGTCAGTGTAATCTGTACTAAGTTTGTTGGCTCTTTCTTAGGTCATGTTGAAAAAAGTGCCTTTTTGAAATCAGTTTTCTATATTGACTTCATTCTAGGTATTGTTTTCTCTTTTCTCCCCTGTAATGTCTCCCCAATCCATGTTTTTTCCTAGCCTTCAAGATGGTCAGCAAGGCCAGCAGTCCACAGCCCAGGTCAAAGTCCAGTCCCGCCCCCCTTCCCAGGCTGCAGTGCTCAGTGCTAGTGCCTCCTTGCTGGTGAGAAATGGGAGTGTCCACTTAGAAGCATCACATGACAATGCATCTGCTGTAGGCGGTAGCAGTTTGCAGGATGAACTTGGTATGCAGGCCTTATGTAATCTTGATGATACAAAATCTATAATGCTGCAGATAATGGGTAACAAGCAGTTCTGTTTTGAGATAGCTTCAGTTTCGAACTATGCCTAGCAGCACTTTTTGTATAGGATTTGCCCTATGTGATAGGAAAATGTGACTTTTGCTTTTTCCTTTTCTGTTTCTCTCTACTCTTGTTCTATATTTTCTTTTGGGCATGCCCATTTTTAATAGATAGTTAAAGTGTTACTATATGTTCATACTCAATTCTGCTTTCCCCAGGCATTTGTACCATGTAGGAGAAAATGTTAACTTAAAAAAAGATTCTTACTAAATTTTAATTGCTTTGAATATTTTGAATGTACTGTAGGAAAGGGAAAAATGCTTTCTAATTGTCTGCCACTATAGAATCTTTCTTTAAGGTATTCTATATTTCACAATATATTCATCATCTGTGGTAGGATTTATTATAATTCAAAATACAGTACTTTGAGGACATCATGGATCCATACTAATGTCACATAATAATGTTATAAAGTTTATTTCTCGTCTTGTTAATACATCTATAAACATACATATAAATTATTGAATAATTAATTCTCAGAGATGTGGTATCATTAAACATCAGTGATACATATCTACTCAAATATCTGCCTTATGAATTATTTAAGGATGATACTTTATATTACTTTGGTTTCTATGTCTCTGTATAGTCTGGCTTTCTTGTTCTCAGAATGCAGGTTAGTAATGGTTTAAGTAAATATAATGAAGAAAATCTAGTTATTCAAAAATATTCACTTGAAAGTGTTTACTCATTGTGATTTTGTTTATTTGTTATAATTGCTTTTTACCTACGAAGATGATAATCCAGTTACTGCTTTGACTGGAAGGATATGAGGTATAAGTTGCCCAAATTAGGATTTAATAAAACTTTATATGCTACCAGTTCGACTCTTTTTCCTATTTTGTAAAAATGGAGAGAGTTGTAGAGAGATATTAATAGGTATGTATGCATATTGATGAAAGGTGTCATCTTCAGCAGATCTCACAGACACTTGAAAATGGTAATCTAAGATATTTATAACATTAGAATGTATGGTGAGTTCTAAATAAAATGAGAAAACAATAAAACATTTTAAATTTGGTATGCTTTTGCTTTTGAGTTTGTAATTTGGAGAGGCAAGAAAATTTATAAGGAGGCTGCTTGAGGGAGAAAGGTAGACACCAATTTAGCTACTTGTTTTAGTTGTAAGTGATAGTTCTTTGGTTGCAAATATATTCAGTTATGTAATAACTTTATATTGCTATATCTCTTTGCTTAACCCAAAGGATTTGTGAATCTGTGAATATAAAATTACAGTCACCATCTCATTCCTCATTGGCTTTATAGTAGTATATCAGCGAAAATAAAAGACTTCCTTTTAATCTCTTTCAGAGTTTTAGACTTTTATGAGCTCAAGCATAAAAGGAAATAGTAGGTGATTTTCCTCCATAAGAATTCTTAGTTTGCTCAAAAAATTTGCTAAGCAAGTTTTAATGATAAAGTCTCATTCTAAATTACATGCCAGCTATTGAAAATATTTATGTATGAACTGCCTTGCCAGTTCTGAAGATTAAAAAACCCTCTTACTTTAGCATCTGCTGGGGGATATTCAAGATAATTGTCTTGAAATTTGGATTTTTTCTTTTGTGTTAACTGCCACCTTAAACTAGGTCTTGCTCTGTCGTATTTGAATGCTACCAAATTGAATGCTTAGTAATAATGAGCACAGAACAATCAATGGAGTGTATATCTGTTTTAAAGCCTATAAAGTTGACCAAAAAAGATTCTGAAAATGAACTGCAACTGAACTTAAAGCAGTTGGTAGAGAAGCTAGAATATTTTTGTTGTGTGATTTAATTTTCTACATGGTTTTAATTAGCAGTGAATTATGTGAATGAAAATATATGAATGAATTTGGGTACTTTATACTCAAATATGTTAAAGTTAGCTGTGATATTCCCTAAAAGTAGGATATTTAGAAAGGGTTGCTTCTTTCCAAATTTGGCTTCTTCTATTAAAAATTTTAACTAGTTTTTATATATGAAGATATATGCGTCTGCATAGTTTATATAAAACATACATATATGCATACTTCTCATATATGTTTGAGTGCACATGTTTGTGTATGTACATGTCCATATGCTGTTTTAGATTAAAGAAAACTCTGAATCAGACATTGTTTAATTCCAAGCCTACATAGTTTTCCTAAACTGTGTTTTCTACATCTTTATTTTATAGTGTCACAGTAGATAACCATATCCATTTCCTATACTAAACCCTGAGAATCCTTATTTCTCTGTTGCATTTTAAGGTTACCAGATATCATGGAAAAAGGTTGCATTAGATATCATGGAACAATTCACTGAAGATAGCATTATGAGGATTTTATTAGTAGCTTATTTAGCAGAGGAGAAAGTGCTTGTATCATCTGTAGTTAGTAAGCAAAATTGTTCATCATGGTAAATTTTACAATTTGAATATAAGTGGCATAATTTTAAAGGAAAAACTTAGGCCAGGCTTGGTGGCTCACGCCTGTAATCCTAGCACTTTGCGAGGCTGAGATGGGCGGATTACTTGTGGTCAGGAGTTTGAGAGCAGCCTGGCCAACATGGTAAAACCCCATGTCTACTAAAAATACAAAAAATAGTCAGGTGTGGTAGTGCAACCTGTAATCCCAGTTACTCAGGAGACTAAATCACGAGAATTGCTTGAACCTGGGAGGCAGAGTTTGCAGTGAACCAAGGTCGCACCACTGTAGTCCAGCCTGGGTGACAGAGTGAGACCCTGTATAAAAAAAAAAAAAAAAAAAGGAAGAACTTATATTGTTTCCTTTCTTATTTATAGCTTTCATTTCCATGTGAACCTAGTTAAAAAAAAAATTGGGTTCAAATGACTTAAGTGGTATATGAGTTTTGGAAGTTAACGTCTTTGAAAAGGATATTTCTATCAGAATTTCTCAAATTCTTCAGTGTAATATGTTGTTCTTTATTTTAAAGACCACATATTAAGGGTTAATTTTCTTCTCATGGGTCTTTTATTGGAATTGCTATTTTTTGTTGATTTTATGCTGTTTTCTGAATTAAACTACAAAAATTCTAAATAAAAAAAGCTGTGACTTAGTAATGCCCGGATTAAGTCACACAAGAGACTCTGAACTCAGGTAGCCTTAAAGTTCCATTTTATATCTGCTGATCTTTTCTATAGAATTTGGGAATTAATTCTCAGTTACTAATCTTAGCTTCCTCTCATAAATTAAGAATAATAAGTTGACGCAGTGATGAAACATTCCATTATAGTTGGTAGTTACATAACTCTTACGCATAACACGGCATCTCAAAATGTTCTAGATGAGATCAGGTAGAACAGGAAACATTTGACTGTGTTTTTTTCCTGTGGATGAAATTAGTGGTCAGGGGTGAGGAAGTGCTTTGAAACTATATATGAAATTATTATTATTTTTATTTTATGTGAAAAATTTAAAAATTACTGTTACAATGTTGACAAGAGATTAGGACAAGAGAATTTTATATTTATCAAGATGTAATTATAAAGCACATATATATCATGAGTAGTATTTCTCTGATTGACTTTCTTACTGTATCTGATTTTTAAAAAGCAATGTTTGAATTGATTTTCTTTAGGTTTTTTTGTTTGTTTTATAACTGTGTAAGGATTGACAAAGGAGGTATTCTTTGAGGTAATCTGCTTTATTCTAGAGCTTGTGAACTTGAAAATGTAGTTGGCTGGAGAATTATTGAAGGAAACCTGGCAACATTGCCTTTATTATTAAGCAATTTGTAGCAGAAACGTAATTAGGAAGCTTTTAACTTTTCTACTTTAAAAAGCAGACTCAGGTGATCTGCAATACGTACTTTCAGTATTTATTGATTTTTGTTGGAGTTAGTCTTAGTGTTTTAAAAAGATTGTGTATGCTACTATGCAGCATTTTGAGCTATAAGTACTTTTCCTTATTACTATTTATGTAGAGTAAGAGGACTGTAAGGGACCTTAGAGTTTATACCTCAGTACCTTATGTTATGGTAGATTATTTTTATTCATTTGAACAGAAAAATTATGTCCTTTTGCAACAACCTTGATTTTGTTCTTTTTTTTTTTTGAGGCGGAGTTTTGCTCTTGTTACCCAGGCTGGAGTGCAATGGCGCGATCTCGGCTCACCGCAACCTCCGCCTCCTGGGTTCAGGCAATTCTCCTGCCTCAGCCTCCTGAGTCTCTGGGATTACAGGTGCACGCCACCACACCTGGCTAATTTTGTATTTTTAGTAGAGACAAGGTTTCACCATGTTGGCCAGGCTGATCTTGAACTCCTGACATCAGATGATCCACCCTCCTTGCCCTCTCAAAGTGCTGGGATTACAGGCGTGAGCCACGTCGCCTGTCCTCTTTGACTTGTTTTTAAGTGGCCGCATACTTTTTTGTCACTTAGATGTACGTGAAAGGCAGTACAATATAGCGGACTCTTGAGTCAGACTTCTTGGCTTCAAATCTGTGCTCTACCACTTATTAGCTATGTGATCTTGGGAAAGTTATTGTCTTGTCTTGTGCCTCAGTTTCCTCATTTATCAAAGGATTGCAAAAATAATGCCTACTTCATAGGTTTATTGTGAGGATTATATGTATTAAGCATACAATTACAACAGTGCTTGGCAATTGTAAGCTTGTTATATAATCATCTCCATCATTGTTGATAAAATATTATATCATTTAACCAGTTAACTAATCCCATTGTTAGTCTTCACATTGTTTCCTGGTATTTCCTATGGTAATGAATACTGTGCTGAATGTCCATTATGTAAGTTTTTGTGAACAGTTGCTGTGATTATTTTCTTAGGAAAAATAATGTTGAAATGGAATTATCAGTCAAGCGGAATATACATTATTGGGGCTTTGACATATATTATTAATTGCTTTATGGAAAGTTGTAGTTTATGCAGAGTTTGGAAGGA